GAAAGAACCGTGAGATTATCGACTGAAAAAGAAGAAATAACTGTCCTGGGCCGAAGCTCCAGAATGACTGCCAGAAGCAAAAGAGCAAAACTTAGCAAAACAGTCTATTCAGGGATCCGCAACCTACGGCCCGAGGGCCGCATGTGGCCCTTCTAGGAAATGAATGCGGCCCTCGCATGAATTTATGAATTCACTTTTATGTAGGTTCCACACTGCACAGTGTCAACAATTATAAATTATTTTAGTTATTACTCATAAAAAAATAGAAAAATTACAAAATACGACCCTCCTCTAAATTTGGCTTTTCACATTGACCCTTTCATATATGCTAAAAAGTTTAGGACTACTGGTCACTATATAGACAAGAAGCACCAGATGTGTTAGTAGCATTCAGCTAGTAATTAAAGAGTACAAACTGGCAAGAACATATCTTCACCTTCCATCACCATTCCTGGATCTGCCTGTGACCTCTAGTAATATTTCTGTCACCAGACAGCTACTGGATGTACCGGCAAGTGTGGTATAAACCTTGGTAATAGCTACCGACAAATTGGTTTAGACACGTGAGCAAACACTAGTACATATTTATTAGAAAACGTTTCGGTCCTAAGACCTTGATCACTTCTAACACATTAAAAAGACCTGTCCTCATCCCAGTGTCATTCTTCAGGTCACCATGCGTCACTCATACCTCACTCTCCGCCTATATATACTGTCTTTTTAACCTGTGTATGTTAGAAGTGATCAAGGTCCCAGGACCGCAACGTTTTCTAATAAATATGTCCTGGTGTTTGCCCACGTGTCTTTCTAAATCACTAAGTGTGTTACCAGGTGGTTCCACCCAAAGGTCCATCTAACAATTTAATTCCCTTTCGGGAGTGTCGGCCACCAACTGGTGGGAGAACAAGGTAAGTAATCACCTCTCCGATAACTCCAGAGTAAAATTTAACGAAGGGGAGGGGGGGGGGAGGAATCGCAGGTACGTAACCCTTATAAAAGCAAGTGGGGAGAGGTGCTGGGTTCTTAGACTACGCTACTCAAACCTCGCCATCACATTTTTAGGAGGGCCCAAAAGCCGAGATTATCACAAAAATGGGACTTCACCTTAGGCGAGGCGTGTTTACGCAGCACAGCAGGAAGCAGGGGGCTTACACAGCCAAAAGAGATACATCCACAAGCTCTGTCAACCAGGCTCACTACTGATAGTCTCTACCACAAACTGCATCACACATATGGGACTCAGAGACCCAGGTCACTCCACCAGTGCAAATTATTTTGCTGGCAGTAATGTGGGCTAGTAGCAGCTAGTCTGACTGGGGAGTCTATGACGCTGGTGGGTAATTGGGTTGAGCTGCAATTTTCCGAGCTTATCAAGTTGTAAATGAGGGAATTCGCGGAGGTAATAACTAGAGGGGAGGGGGAGAGCAAGAAAGCGACCAGGAACTAGTTAAGCATAGTCACTAGCCCCCCCCCACCATACTCAAACTCCCCCCTGTCTATTTTCTCCACGTAATTACACGGTACTGACATTAAGAGCATATGGAGAAGAACCAGGTTGCCAGGAAACAATGACTGGACTGAAAAACTGGCGGAGATGTTCCAGGAGGCACTGTGCTCGCCCCCAATTCTCTCTTATATCAGACAAATAATTCCTAGCGTTGTATCACTTTTTGCGGGTGATGCTAGAATTTGTATGGGCGTGGCATCCACGAAGGGCAACTCTCCATGCTGAAATTAATCAGATCTTCAAGAGCATCACCCCCCCCCCCCCCCCAAAAAAAAAAAGCGAGACAAATACTTGTTACTCAACTATGGAAAAAGTGAATTGAAAAATAGTATAAAACAAACTCGCACCACTTGGAGCGGAAGATGAATGATGTCAGAAGATTCTATATTCAAGGATCAAAGCGGTAATGCTATCATAAACGCAAGGATATTTATAGTCTGGATGACTAGAACCTTCAAAGATGCCAAGCCACTGATGACAGTAAACGTACTGCGCGCTCTCGACTGGGATATTGCTGCACACTAACAGCCCCTGTTAATCCGGCAAAACCGCAAAGCTGGAAACTGTACCGATAACCTTCACTATTTGTATAAACTCGGTGAAGCACCTAAACTACTGGAATGCCTTTAGATCCTTAACTGTACTCCCTAGAGTGACTGATCCCAAATCTGCACTCTTATTCCTTCAGAGAGCGAGATTTGGCAGACGGTGCAAAATATCCCCAATGAAAAACGGGCGTGATGTGTACACTAAGAGAGCAAATGCAACAGGATCAAGACTTTTCAACACCCTCTATTTATACACATGGAGAATTACCAACAACCCCTAAGTTGTCTTCAAGAGTGAACCAAGTTCCTGATCAGCCGAACTGTGGGGCATACATTGGATTCTTATGGCTAGCATCAACACCCTGGATAATCAGACATCAACCAGGCCTGGTCTGTAATCTGTGACCGATTTCAAGTTTCTTCCTCCTCTTCGGCCCGGCCTGTGGCCAAGCCTTTCTACTGACAGTTTTACCAGGCTTGTCTTGCTGGCAGCCCATTGGTCTACAGCCATTACATAATATAATATAACCCACATAATAAAAATATTGGGGAGGACAGGTGTCAAATATTTTCCTACTCTCGCAGCCAGGCCTAGAATCAGGCTCTTTCCTGGTAAACCAGGCTTTTGCTACTGGCGGTCCTCTGGGTCATGTATCCACCATAGCCTGGTTGAACTGGGACTAAGGTAACTATCCAATTTATTCTTGAAAACTTCTATACTTGTTCTGACAATATTTCAGACATCAGCTTAACAGTCGTATACCTCGTACGTTGAAGCAGTGTTCTATGTGCCCATGGCGCGCCTCCCTTTCACTGTATATTTTATATTTCTTCCCATCGCTCTCACCCCAGTACGTTATGTAAGTGTGTAGGCTTGGGACCAGGCACTCGAGTGTCTGTAATGTACATATTAGCAGGGATCTCTGTCTCCTCTACTCCAGAGGAGATTATCTGCACTTGGACGCATTCCCAGTAGCTTAAATGCTTTACTGTCTCTATGGAGGATGTAAACGATCCACATGCTCCACCTCTGATCTCTCTGCTACCTTTAACAGAGCCGGCAACACCACAAGAGTATTTATTCTAAAAAAAAAGAGGAGAGGAGAGAGAGAGAGGAGAGGGAAGAGAGAGAGGAGAGAGAGAGGAGAGAGAGGAGAGAGAGGAGAGAGAGGAGGAGGAGAGAGAGAGGGAGAGAGAGAGAGAGAGAGAGAGGAGAGAGAGAGAGGAGGAGAGAGGAGAGAGGAGAGAGGAGAGAGGGAGAGAGGAGGGGGAGAGGAGGGAGAGAGAGGGAGGAGAGAGGAGAGGAGAGAGAGAGAGAGGAGAGAGAGAGAGAGAGAGAGAGAGAGAGAGAGAGAGAGAGAGAGGAGGAGAGAGAGAGGGAGAGAGAGGAGAGAGGAGAGAGAGAGAGAGAGGAGGAGAGAGAGAGGAGAGAGAGAGAGAGAGAGAGAGAGAGAGAGAGAGAGAGAGAGAGAGAGAGAGAGAGAGAGAGAGAGAGAGAGAGAGAGAGAGAATGAATCTGAGGTCTCACCATTGGCATAATTTTTTTTAAAGTTCTCCTAATCCATCCCGTCATTTTTACGTTTTCGCAGCATTTACCTTAATGAATAGTTATGTACGAGTATAATAAACTGTAAAATAACGTCATTAAGGCGAGAACTTTCGACGGACATACGAGTGGATGTGGTAAGGTGGTGCTGGACCTGTTTAGCATGACCCATTATCACAAGTCTCATATTCTTTACGTTGTAAGAGGTGGTCCTCTTTTGTATTGTGATGCTTTATTATTCATTCTTGCCATATCTGAGCAATTGGAATTCGTCACCAATGAGTATCATGTTTTCTACCGTCCACTGTAAGTACTGTTATATCCTCTTTAAACATTTCTTTTTTTTTTACCGCGAAGGATGATACGAAGCTATGGCTAGTGTGTTAATAATATAAGCCACGAGGATAAACAGTAAAGGTGCGAGGAGCCTGCCTTGGGGAACTGAAATTTTTACTCTACTAAGGCTAGTTTTTTGCCTTTTGTGCTTTTGCTGTGTCGTCTTAGTCAGTAAACTGAAAATCCATTTGCTTATTTTCTTTTATTTATCAATGTTAATCTGGATTTTGTAGCTCAACTTTACAGCCAGATTAACAACTAGATTAGTCCCAGAGCTGAAGAGGTATGGGTTGTGTAGCTTACGGAGCGCTGCGGCTGAAAGGTCATTCACATTCCAATGCACAACACGTACGCATCAAGCACAACACAGTACAAGTAAATTACTAGACAGGTTAAAAGCAAAAGCTCAACCAGGCGAGTTCAATACAATGAACCTAAACACACGAAGCTTTAAGAATAAGTATGATGTAACTCACGAGGTTGAACCAAGTTAGGAGGGAAGCCTAAGAGACCTAGGAAGCCTGGGAGGCCCTAAGTTAGTACTCCCATAGTTGGAACCGTCTACCATAACTCGGGGCCTCTTACGAGTGAAACACCTCTGTATTATGCTTTCACAAACAAATCGGTGTATACGTACGTACATCCTTAGATGTACACACACACACACACACACACCTGGCGACACTGGAGGACAGGTGAGAGAGGGGGGGGACATGATAACGACATATAAAATACTCAAGAGGAATTGACAAGGTGGATATAGACAGAATGTTCCAGAGATGGGACACAGTTGTAAGTTGAAGACTCCGATGAATCACAGGGATGTTAGGAAGTATTTCTTCAGTCAGGAAGTGGAATAGTTTGGGAAGCGATGTAGTGGAGGCAGGATCCATACAAAGCTTTAAGCAGAGGTATGATAAAGCTCATAATGCAGGGAGAGTGACCCAGTAGCGGCCAGTGAAGAGGCGGGGCCAGGAGCTATGAATCGACCCCTGCAACCACAACTGAGTACACACACACCCTTATAAAATATATTTTATTGCATAAACCACTAGAGACTTACCTCTATACTAAAGTAGCCTCTGTCTACATAGTCGCCTAAGAAGAGATATTTCGTACAGTTGGGCGGACCCCCGACCTCAAATAGCTTCATGAGATCATAGAACTGCCCATGGATGTCGCCGCATACTGTCAACCAAACAAGAAAATACTGTTAAAACAACTACATATACAACACAATCTGATTACATGCAAACTACGTTGATGTTTATTAGAAACAGTGACGTTGGTTAGATACGATGACGATCTTTAATACAAATAATACATCGTTAGAAACAGTGACGTTGGTTAGATACGATGACGATCTTTAATACAAATAATACATCGTTAGAAACAGTGACGTTGGTTAGATACAAACGCCTGTGATTTCTGTAAAGTAAACTGCAAAATTAGATACCTTTGCTATACCTTTGAAGAGTTTCGAGAGTTAATCTACTCTCTGAACCCGGCCATGGGCTAGGCTCGTCTGGTGCTTGCCTAGTCAACAAAATTTGGGACGCTGCTGTAATTAACGTGGAAAATGTATTAAATTTACTCAAGGATGAAACACATTTCCTGGTTATGTAGATACTTCGAACAAGCAATATAAGATGCAAAAAACACGGGGGGGGGGGGTGTTGAATGATAGCTCAAGGCCTTTCGTGTTGCAGTAAACACATTAGGAGCTACAACAATGCAAGCTCCTGATGTGTTGATTGCAACACGAAAGGCCTAGAGATATCATTCAACTCCCCCCCCCCCCGTGGTTGTTTTGCGTATTCCCTGGTGCAAAAAAAAAAAAACTAAATATTCACAGAAATACAAGTGGTCAGCACACAAACATTTTGCAAACCTCACAAACTGACGTTATCAAGGCATTAAAATGGCAATTTTTATTAAACAAAAGAAATTCATAGAGACGATACATTAATTATAAAATGTACAGGTACACTTAAACATGTGAATATGCGGTTTGGAAAACCTACTGAGACTAGTGCAATATTTGGGTGTGTTTAGTCTGGAAACGTTTCACCAGCGAGTGGCTTCTTCAGTCCATTGCAGAAAAAGGTGGAAGATGAGTAGTACTTTGAGGTAATCAGTCCCTCAGCCTGGAGTCTGTGTTCAGTCCATCAATCTTAACAAGCTGAGGGACTGATTACCTCAAACTCTTCATCTTCCACCTTTCTCAGCACTGGACTGAAGAAGCCACTCACTGGGGAAACGTTCCAGTATAAAGATACCCAAATGTTGCACAAGTGTTATCACAATGAAACATCTTAGTATGTGACGAGAACAATAGGAAGTATAGGAGACTGAATCTTCTGACATAGAAACATTAAGAGGCGCCTGAGTTTCCCTGTCTCCTGTGTCTATAATTACTATCGCATTTGCTTTGTCTGCTTTCGTAAGGTGAAGTCTAGGACAGTTTGAGGACAGTTGTGCTGCAGAGCTTTGCAACACAGACCTTTGCAGTGAGAAGACTACTACACAATAAGTCGGGCAGTGAGAAAACTACTACTACACAACAAGACGGGCAGTGAGAAGGCAGCTACTTAAAGATTTCAACCTCTCGCAATCTCTCGCGCGCATTCCCGCGGGAATACGCTAGAGCACACAACGTACGCGGGTTTTAACAACTTTCTTCATTACAAACCTTCGTCTACGATGCAGCCATTACCATTAAACACACGAACCACAACACAGAGCGTCAACCTGTGGCCACGTGCTGTTCTATTTAATATTATTTGCAAAGAACGCATAATTCCATGAATATTTCAATATAATGGTAAACTTAGCGTTTCGTAATCAATAAGGAAGTAAAGAATATTCAGAGTTGCTATTCTGGGAGCCTGAGTGTTGTGTCGCGTGCTACCCATGCCAATAAGTGAGCCGTCTTTATCTTTTATACAACAATTACACTAGAATAGTCAGTGTTTGGCAGCCCCTCAGACACCTGAAGGACCAACACACACCAACACACACACACACACACACACACACACACACACACAAACGGAGAAACAGAGAAACAGAAAGAGAAATTGAGAGAAACAGAGAGAAAGAGAAACAGAGAAATAGAAACAGAGAGAGAGAAAGAGAAACAGAGAGAAACAGAGAAACAGATAGAGGAACACAGAAACAGAGAAACAGAGAAGCAGAGAAACAGAGAGAGACAAATAGACAGAGACTGAGATAGAGACACAGATAGACACACAGACAGACACATAGCCAAACAGACACAGACACACAGAACAACCGCAACTTTGGGGCGCTGGTCCTCTTGCTGTAGGGCCATTGGCTTCAAGTAGTGAAAATAAATTAAGATGTGTTTATTGATAACGTTTCGGTCCTGGGACTTCAATGATGTTTTCCAGGGCCGAAACTTTTCTTCCAAGAAACATATCTTGGGTTACTGCATACCTTTTACCTTTGATATACCTTTTGATGAGTTCCGAGTTTTTCTATTCCCAGAGCCCGGCCTTGGGCTAGGCTCTTCTGGTGCTTGCCTGGCCAACCAGACTGTTGCTGCTGGCGGCCTGCTGGCCCACATATCCTCACAACCTGGCTGATCTAGCACCTGAAGATACTTTTACAGTTTCCTCTTGAAAATTTCTATACTTGTTCCAGCAATGTTTCTGATATCTTCTAGTAAAATGAACAGTCTGGGGCCGCAGATGTTGATACAATGTTCTCTTACTGTATCCACGGTGTCCCTGCTTGTCACTGGGTTTATTTTGCACTTCCTTCTATATATCTCACTCCAGCATGTCATGGCAGTGTGCAGGTTTGGGACAAGGCTCTCACATACTTTCCAGGTATATACTAACATGCACCTCTCTCCTCCTCCGCTCTAGCGAGTACAAATTTAAGACAGACGTTCTCGGTAATTTAAATGCTTTAGTGGTTTTATGCGGGCCGTAAATGATCTGTGTGTTCCAGCAGTAAAAAAGTTTTGGTTTGGTTTGTGCTGCTCCATAAGTTTGTAATTTGGCATCTCATCACTCTTTTGAAAACTTTCATGTAGGATGCTAGGACTACTGGTATGTAATTTAAGGCTAGCGATCTATTACCTTATACAAAGGCGCTTATATCTGCACTCTAAGGTCTCTGGCATTTTACCTAGATCTACTCTTTCTTTAAATGATACAATGCTAATTTTAGCAGTACTTTTACTTTCATATAACCAAGGAATACCACGAATCCCGTCCAGCTCCTGAGTAGGCAAGTTCATTTTTTTTCCGAATTTTATGGGACTAGTGCTTATAACAGTTACTTGGGCTGCACGGCTTTCAAATGTAACGGGGAAAAAAATGTGCGTTTTCCAACCTGCTTTCGTTCAGGGGGTGTCAGGATTTCACGTATTTCTTGATCTTAGGTATATAATGCACACTGTGTGTACCCTTGTGTGTACAGCTGTTCCAGGCACTGTTGAGTATCTGGGGGTGTTCATGACTGTTTCCAAGGATATACTGATAGTTCTGGGTTAATTCTGTCCCAATTGTTTCTAAGACTGTTGAAGTTAAATTTATTGAACATCCCCGTTAGTTCAATGCAAACTTTTCACATGGTCCCATTAGTTCCTTAGTATGTTCCTGTTGAGCTAGCGAGCTTCCAGAAGATATTTCTGGTACAATTTGGGAGGTTGAACTCTCCAGGAAGGATAATATTTTGTGTGGAATTTTAGAGACTTTCGAGACAGCTATCTACCTTATCTGATCCACGAAGTCCTCAGTCGTTGCTGACGGCGGTGCATATACAAGAATGATTATACCAAGGTCCTATTATCCGCGTTATTACCTAGAACTTCTATATCATTTTCTGAATTTAACGTTCTTGTACAGCAAAAACTGTCTTCCTTGTACAATCCTATACACACTTTCCCGAGACCTATTTACTGTCACATCTATAAATATCGTGGTTATTAATCCCCATCTAACATCCCTTATGTGTTTCTATAAACGCTCCAAACATAGCATTTGCCAACTTGTACAGCTGTCCTTACTGGTTTTCAAACTATGTTTGAAAATAGATATACTATTTGGGATGTTTTAATTTGTGGTTTAATTTAGTGTGGTACGTCTCTTAGTGGACATTATACCCTTCTCCCCAGTGCTGTTAGTACTGACACGTTGCATGTTTTGTCCAGGCAGGAGTGGAACCAGTTCCCTGTGTTCCACTGCCGTGTGTTCGTATACTCTGCCTTCCTCCACTGGATTTCTGGATGGTAATTCACACGCACTTAAAAATCTTTTTCATCGTTTTCTACACTTTCTGCCTGCTGATGTAATTCTACATTTTAGCACTTTCTTTCCATGGATTTTTGGGCAGCTTAGGTCGTAACATTGTCTGGTTTCTGATGATGAACTGCACAGTTCACGGTGGGACTACCAACACTTCACCAAAGCAACACTTCAACATGTTGGTACATCTTCTGATATACCTGGAGGGTATTCTGGGGATCAACGCCCCCGCGGCCCGGTCCATGACCAGGCCTCCTGGTGGATCAGGGCCTGATCAACAAGGCTGTTACTGCTGGCCTCACGTAGTCCAACGTACGAGCCACAACCCGGCTGATCCGGCACTGACTTCAGGTATCTGTCCAGCTCTCTCTTGAAGGCAGGCAGGAGTTTATTGGTAATTCCCCGAATGCTTGATGGAAGACTGTTGAACAGTCTTGGGCCCCGGACACTTATGGTGTTTTCTCTTAGTGTACCAACGGCGCCCCTACTTTTAATTGGGAGTATTTTGCATCGCCTGCCCAGTCTTTTACTTTCGTAGGAAGTGATTTCTGTGTGCAGATTCGGGACCATTCCTTCCAGGATTTTCCAAGTACAGATTATGATATATCTCTCTCTCCTGCGTTCCAACGAGTACAAGTCAAGTGCTTCCAAGTGTTCCCAGTAGTTAAGGTGCTTGACAGAACTTATACGTGCAGTAAAGGATCTCTGTACACTCTACATCTGTAATTTCACCTTCGAATGGAGATGTTAATGTACAGCAGTATTCCAGCCTAGAGAGAACAAGTGATTTGAAAAGGATCATCATTGGCTTGGCATCTCTCGTTTTGAACTTTCTCATTATCCATCCTATCATTTTCTTTGCACTTGTGATCGTGGCACTGTTGTGATCCTTGAACGTGAGATCCTCAG